CCGCCGCGACTATTAAGTACTGATTTACTAAGTGGTCGATGGTGAAGGAAAACATCGTGAGAAAACGTGTTTGATCGCTAACATGCACTTGTGACTACGCACTGCAGCGCACCAGTGAACTAAACTGCTCAATAAATTTTATAAAAAAATGGGAGTTTATAGGCTTTAACTTTACTTTAGTGAAGCCCATATACGTCCCACAACTGGGCAAAGGCCCACTCAATTTTGAGAGGGTTTTAGGGCAAGTGTCCGCCGCACTGCCCCAATGCATGTTGGCGGACTTCACGTGCCTTCGAAACACACACACACACACACATTTTTTTATACATACATATGACACACATATGTCTTTTAAGTAATATTTATAATGTGCCAACAGGTTTTCATTCTTGGAATAATTACCAACACCCGGCTCCACCTGAAAGTCATCGCCGTCATCTATATCAGTCAGGGGAACATTGTTGTCGCTATACAAAGCCGATTCTCATAATACTCATTGCTCGCACACAGTTTAGTTTAAAAGTTATTTGTCTGTCTGTCTGTCTTACATAATTATTTGTCTAAGGAAAAACGCTTATATTTGTTTTAAAAATACATAAATTTGTACAATATTACGTCTGTATTAAATAATTAGTTTGACTTGTGTTAAAAACATGCAATCTTGTCAACGAACGGGTTCGGATGTTTTTTCTCCTACTTTCACTTGATGTTCATGTCATGTGCATAATGCTTGTGTAACAAGCCCACGTAGTACGTCCTGCTCTTCTCATTGTTAAATGACCTTATTTTGGAACACAGTATTATAATGAAGACGAAACAAGAAATACCAATTCAAATATTTTTTAACATAAACAATACTTATTGAAAATCGTTTTTAATTCTTTACAACTGGTTCAGAAAATATTTCTGCCCTGGGAAGAATCAGCAGCATAATAGCGGGACTTTCTTTAACAAATAGATTACATAATCATAAGTTGTTCAATGACTACACAAATCGTGTTAGAAATAGGTGTATTATATTGTGAGCAAACCTTTTAAAAAATGTGACTGAGCATATTCTTGCAAAGCTAGTAGTATTTTACTCCCTAAAATGGAAAGGACTATGTCAAGCAGTGAACTTTTCCAGGCAAATAGAGAAAACGAAGGATTTACCTTATTTATAGTAGATTTTACGTACTTATGAAATTACCCTTTTCTTGAACTCGTCACCTTTAACTGTAATAGTTGGTTTGACTTGAAGTTTTAAATTTATTTTATTTTTAGCTTAAAGCATGTTATTTATTTTTAAAATCAGTTTTTGGATTTTTCTTTGGATTTTGTTTTTTCCTGCAACTATTGACTCTCAAAAATTAGTTCAGATCTAGTACTATTAACGAACAAACTGTATGTTCAACTTATTGGTTCAACCTTTGTAGTTTTTCGTATTATAATTATTTTCTTTCGTTTAGGAAATAGAATTCACAAATGAACCTTGTGATTGTCCGGAAAATAATATTGATAAAGGCGGAAAGTGTTTAAGCAATTTTAGATCGTTCGCGAAACATTATCACAATAAAGAAGCTAAAGGAATAACAAGAATAGGTACCAAGTGATGCATAGGAGGCCTGCGTCAATTACGTCATATCGGTGAATCGGTATATAAAGGAGAGTATCTGTCAAAAGTCAAACTGTGTTACCTGCAATGTGAATTGACAACCAATATAGGTGCCCAAGACAAACAGAACCTGAAACGACATATTACCCTTAAAAAACTTATGGCGACAGTTTAGTGGTCTACTGTTAGTTTTATTCTACTACTAAAGCTTTCTGCAATTGAGTGCCACACTTACTGCTGATCCAGTTTATACAATCAAAATTGATAAAGTTTTTGAACTTGATTGAGATCAATTTATATATATTTATATATCTTGATATATATAAATTAAGTGTCACGTTGTTGGTCCGTGATAGACTCCTAAACTACTCAACCGATTTTAATAAAATTTTCACACCGTGTGCAGTTTGGTCCAACTTGAGAGATAGGATAGTTTTTTTGCCCATGTGACCCACAATTTTTTTTTGCGAATTTAAGGATTTTTAATAGGAGATGACAAAGGGTCGTCGAAAAGGGCAGTACAACGTCTGCCTGGCAAGCTAGTATATATATATATATATATATATATATATATATATTCATCATTACATCCCTTCACAGGTCCACTGCTGAACATAGGCCTCCCCCAACGTTTGCCACAAAGCACGGTCCTGAGCCACCTTCATCCATCGACTTCCTGCATATCTTACCAGGTCGTCTCTCCATCTAGTGGGGGGTCACCCTACAATACTGGTATGAGGCTGCCACTCGAGAATCTTTTTTCCCCAACAATTGTCGGTTCTTCGGGCTATATGGCCGGCCCATTGCCACTTCACCTTACTAATCCATTGATCTATGTCGGTCACTCTGGTTCCACTGCGTATATCCTCATTACTAAGTTTATCACGCAGAGAAACCCCGAGCATAGACCTTTCCATAGCTTGCTGAGCGTCCTCACACGGCCGACATTGAAGGACATATATATATTACTTGGTATAAACCAGTGATGACCACAATCCTACCTGGTGGTAGTGATTATGTAGCCCTAGATGGTAAATTGCACTGTCTTAGTGTAACAAAAACCAATTCACTCACGCCTTGATGATCGCCGAGATCGTATTCAGAATGAAAGACGGACGCCGCGCCGGGACATTTACTGGGATTTTGTTTTAAAAGCGTATACCTTGCTCCAATAATGAATTACTGATTCAGTGTAGTCGAGTAACCAGTACTGCTAGCTTGTGTTTGTTCCTAGTATGTACAGAGAGAATATCACTTAGTTTTTTAAAATATAAGGATTTAAAATAAAAAATATAGTTAAAATAAATAATATATATTCCTTATAATTGGTGGTAATAATATTTACTTAATATTGAGCTATAAGGCTCTAACTTTTATTTTTAATTGTTATGATATTTTTTATAGGATAGGGTGACAAACGAGCACACAGTCCACCTGATGTTAAGTAGTTGCTGTGGCCCATAGACATCTACATCTATCCTCCGAATCAAAATGCAGATGCGTTGTCACCCATGAGGACTAAAATGGAATGCCTAGTTTTCAGTAAAAAAGGTCTCCGGTCTCTACACTCACCAAATGAAACACAGCAGCGTTAAGCTACTATTTTACGCTGGTATTCTGTGAGAGCGTGGTCCTTCCCCGGTCGAGCCAACCCATTCGTGCTACAACTATACTACTAATATAACTGCAGCATGGCTCTACCACGTATAATATATATAATTATAATATTAATATAATTATATTCGGCATAATTTCCTTCTTCTCTAGAGTGATAATGGAGAAGTTAATATTGAAAATATGCAATGCGCAACAATAACAGAACATATTTCGTTGTATTTATATTATAAAATTAATAATATTATATAACCATTAACATACAACTTGTAACATGTAAAATATATTATGTGTATAACTATGTGTGTTGACTAAACGTCGTTGATTTATTACTAATGATTTATATAAACATATTAATTAGGTAAGTATAAGTTTGTCATCTGTATCTTATCGTGTCATATAAACAAGCATTGATTACCAGAGAAAGAACACATAAAATTGATAGTGTATTACACAACTCGGGTTAAATGTTTATTCGATTGCGAGTGGTTTCAGCGCCACTTTCACTTTTTCGAGTGTGTGGGAATGTAATAAACTCATAATTATCATCATCTAGATGTTGAATGTTTATATATTTATTATCAAAGAACAGACCCTTTTTACTGGAAACGAGCCATTCCATCTCAGTCCTCATGGTTGACAACGCATCTGCATTTTGATTGTTAATTAAAGATAAATGTAGGCGTCTATGGCCGACAGCATCCACTAACCATCAGGTGGACTGTATACTAGTTTGTCAAGCTTATTCCATAAAAAAGTCTCATTCAGATCAGAAATAAAATCTAGTTTTCCAGGTTTGTCGGGTTGGAATCTTGGGTCTAGTTTAAAATTAGTTAATGGGGTTTTCTTTCAAGAAATTCACAATAGCAGCCGGATTTAGGAAGTTGGCGGTGTTTTACCCCGTGCCTCGGAAAGCACGTAAAGCCGTTGGTCCTGCGCCTGATCTCTCTCTGGTCGAACTATTCTCAAAATGTTTAAGTGGACATCGAAAAATAAAATATACTAATTTAATTTCTTATAATTTTGATGGCATAATATCAGGTACCTATAACATTTCCATTTTATGGGGAACAATTAAAATACATTCACAAAAAAAAAACTTTAATTTATCAAAATATTCGCATGCAATAATAACACATTCTTGGCATTTCATTGACAGTTTGTTGATGACTTTACCGTAGAAATTTGCTGTATTAGAGTCGAATAACTTCATAAGCGTATACTTTATTACTTCTTCGGGATTGAAAATTTCGCCGATCAAAAAGCTATTTAAACTACGAAAACTATGGAAGGAAAGTCTGGGCGAGCTTTAACTCCGCCAACTACTTTTATCAACGTTTGTTGTGTAGTATATGGCCGAGTTTTGCCATGAAAAAGCAATGACAAAGAACAGTTTACTGACCTGAATTGTTCTAGTGTCAACTTCTCCACCAGTCATTTGCAATTCATGACAATAACGGTTAGCAGTAAATGTGGCACTGGATGGCAGAAGACTATAGTGAATAAAACCAATAGACCACTAGACTGTCACCATAAGTTTCTTAAGGTTAACATTTCGTTTCAGGTAATGTTTGTCCTGGGAATCTAAATTTGACATTTGTGACTGTCGCATAGAACCAATTGACATTTCAGGCAGGTAACAGTTTGACTCAAAGTTACCTTTATATGTTGATTCACCAATATGACATAATCTTAGAAGCAGGACTACTATGCATCACTCAGTACCTATTTTTGTTATTCTTTTAGCTTCTTTATTGTGCTAATTTTACGCATCTGATATTGTTTAGACACTTTAATCTAATACTTTCGCATCCGACGTTAACTTCGTCGTAATTTGAGATGGGAACTTCTCGGGACAATCACGAGCTTCATTTGTGAATTCAAAATTACCTAAACACATATGGTTATATGTTACAAGTTATGTGTTAATTATTATACATTTTAATTTTAAATACAACGAAATATGTTCTGTTATTGCTGCGCATTTGCATATCTTCAATATTAACTTTTCTCTTACTGTCTAACACCGAACATAAATATATGATAACAGTTCAAAATAAAAGTTAGAGCCATATAGCCTTTGTACCTTTAAATCCTTATATTTCAAAATAGGTAATTTAAAAAAAAACTAAATACAAGGAACAAGCACAAGCTACTAGTACTAGTTACTCGACTACACTGAATCAGTAATTCATTCTTGGAGCAATGTATACACTAAAATTTGACCTGCGCCAAGTTCAAAAACTTTATTAAACATTGGTTGTATAAAAAGGGTTTTTATGATATTAAGAAATTTATGAACGATAATAACCCCTGTATATGAGGTGACCTTTACAAAGATATTTCTAATTTATTTTGTGTTGTGAATTGTAGAACATAATTATTGTAAGTTGTTCTTTTTTTTTTTCAAATAAAAATGTCCCGCTGGGTTTCTTACTGGTTCTTCTCAGGGCAGAAGTATTTTCCGAATCAGTGGTAAATTAAACATAAGATTGACTTTCGAAAAGTCATAATTCAATAAGTAATAATCATTTATAATCAATATTGTACAAAAATTTTATATTTCTATTTCCAATTCCGTTACTACTTCTATTTCTTTCTTTTTCTGTTTCTATGAGAGAGGTAATCTACCGTCACCATCATCATCATCATTACTACCCTTCACGCATCCATTGTCGAACGTAGGCCTCCCCCAAGGAAGGCTACAAACCACGGTCCTGAGCCTGCATCGACGCATCCATCGACTTCCTGCATGTTTTGCAATTCGCCTACCGGTACGAGACTGGCACTCGAGTACTTTTTTTCCTCATCGGCTGTCGGTTCTTCGAGCTATATGGCCGGTGTATTTGATTAGTAAGCTGAAGGAGCAATGCTCCTTCAGCTTACTAATCAAATGGTAATCTACCGAGGCACCAAAAAATTATTCCACCGCGTTGCTCCAGTGCGTGTTGGCGAACTTCAAATGACCTTGAAATATTTTATTATTTACAGCCAAACAAAATACAAATATTTCATTGCTCGGGTACTATAAACTTTACGGCGACCGCTTACTCCCTGAGCTACCAAAGCCATCACCACCATCTACATGATGAATGATTACCATTATATTCAAATGTGCAAAATATATATTTTTTCTCTCTCTTAATAACACTCTCTAGAACACTTCAATTTTCACACACACACTCACATATTATACACTTATATATATATATATATATTACTACTATTCACGCGATATTATCTTTTCTCATTCCTTGTTTTTCATTTACTGCATCTTAATTAAGACTTTTTCATAAACAAGTGGCGAAAAGAGTAATAAAGTGGTGGTCCAGAGAATAATTAAATATACTCGTAATGGGGTGTTTCGCTATTAACCAGTTCTTTACATTGATTGAGATCTTAAAATGTTATAATATACTTATGTATTACGTAAGACTAAATCCTTATTTAGTAGTCTATAATTGTTTTTGTGTACTTATATTATGTGTGTTTGTGTTTGCTTGTGTTATTACTTTATACATAACTTTAAGTTATTCTTTTTTTAGCAACATTTCCGTTTCCTCATATGTTAACATTCGAAGCCATTCAAGGGGGATTTTTTTTGCAGTCGTGATGTGGTATATAATATATTGCTACTTTCCAATTCAAATTTTAGCTAATTCGGGTTTTTATCATTCCGTAGCTCGCAACAGGCGATAGAGGTAAACAAACCAGATTGGCAGTAGCGTATTTAACAAACAAAAACTTAAAAGCTGCGGTTGCCAAACCGCCTGCTAATCTTGGCAAATATAACAAATAGGCCCCTTTAGAGTCAATTTTTCTCAAGGTCTATGTTCAGTAATGAAGTTTGATAAGTTGCAATTAATTAATTAATTAATATTTGAAAAAATAACTGTAAATCATTAAAAGTTGTATCATTTGTGTGTATTGTGTCTGTAATACTGAGTGCAAATCAAAAAACGCAGACCCGTGATACCTTATAGACACAGTAAACCTAAAAGAGTAAATATAGTCGTATTCTTGCCTAATGCTTAAAATTATTTACAAATCATTGGACGGAATGTTGCATCCGAGCCATAACTAATCCTTGACGACTTTGATTAGTTGCGGGCTAGCATCAAAAAAATAATGTAATAAATACGCTTCACCTCTAATCGCCAATACACCCGCTACATTTAGCTATTACAGCAAATGCACTTTCATATAAAAGATATAAACGTTCCATAGTGACCTGTTTATGGACTGATATTAAAAAAAGCTAAAAGTAGCCTGTGTTACCCATGACAAACATCGGTCGCTTGAAAACCACTCGGAACGTCTTCAAGGCAAGAGTTTTGTTACCGTAAGACAGTGATCTGAGGCTACATCACCACTTACCACTCATAATAAGTAAAAAAGAAAACGTCGAGGATTATGTGTATAATAATTTAGGCAATCTTTCTATTATACATCGGACTGAAAACATCATTTTAAAAGCCCCTAATAATTTCATTTATTAAATCTTATTAAAAGTCTACTTCTAAACAGACGTAGAAAATATACAAATCCTACGAAGATTCATGTAAGACTATGTTTGCATCATGACAATATAATAGACGTTCAGTTTACTTATATAATAAAATAAACCTAAAAAATCAATATTTACTCTATGAATTACCATGACTGTAAAAAACCCGTAACAGACTGGTTAAGAAAACTTTCCTATGAAGAAATCCAATCCCTTCTCGAAAACACTGCCTTATGAATTTTCACACTCATACAGACTTCTCACGCTAATCCATACACACATTTTTGCACACTATCACGCAAATATCGCTAATTATACCTTACTTGCAATTTAAGTTGTTTAGCTTTTGATTTATTTATGTTGTTTTTTTGTTATTTTGTTGTTTTGTGTTATTTACTTAATTCTAAGTAGTAATATAATTGTAATAAGGAAGAGCGGGACCCTCTACTACAGATCTACTACAGGTATCTATTTACTTAAAAGAGGACACCCAACAATATTGTAACAACTTACTACTTGTTTTAAAGTAATAAATTATCATAACCATTTTAAAAAACATAGGGCTCCACCAAAATTTGCATTATAGAGAGAAATTTTGCCAAAGTTGCCACGCTTTGCAGGGGGATGTTAACCGCATTTTTATTATTATTTATCGGTAAAGTGCTGCTGCACTCATTCTGTTTCAGTTTCAAAAGACGACAGAGGGGAAACTGAAACACGGGATGATACATAGTGTGGATATTCTTCTCCCACCGCCATTACAAGGTTTATATTAAATACATATTATGTACAATAGACATAGGAACGTAAAACTAAATGGACATATATTTACATTTACTGAAATAGATTCATCTTATAGTTGATTCTATTTCAGTAAACTTCTATTTCATTATGGTTGATGAGGATTTTTACTCCTCTTCCCCAAAATGCGGAAGGTCCTAATTTTTTGTGATTTCAGACACTATTTCCACATCCTCAAGAGCGAGTATTAAAAATTCCTCTTGACAACAAGCACATTGTTACACACTGAATAATTGGGGCAAGCTTTTGAGATGGAAAATGAACCCCAAGAACTTTACGGAGCAATGCTCCCATATCTTTCGGCTCCTCTATCTAGTTTCCCTGTCTCTATTCTCTTTTCAGTGACTCTAGATTAGTTTAGGGCTTACTACGAAATCGAATATGGAGAAACCAAGCAGTTTTTTCAGATATTAAACTGTTTCATAAATTGTTGACTATGAAGTTATTTCTTTCTTTCTATAACTATTGAACCCATACGTAATTCTTTCTTTCTTTTTATATAAAAATTCTTTTATATAAAATTAAATCTTTGAATTGGTTTTCTTTTTATAATCTCTCTGCCTAATCAGCATATATCGTCATGTACTCATCTTCATACACATCCTCAAACTGTATTGAAGTACTTCCTCATCCGCATTTGCTTCCTCGTAACCACTTCCTCATAAACTTTCACTAACATTATATGTAAAAATAAACAATTTAAATGATTCTTTTTTTTGTTTTTGTTTGCCCTTTTAAAACTGCCTAAATGTTTATAAAATATTGTTTTCGATACGTGAAAATTGAAAATTGGTAAAATTTGATATCATTTTTGTATGTATACCAAAATAACAATTTCAAACATAGTAACTAAGAAACAATCTGTAGACTCAACATCTCTACAAGCTATAACGTAGTTGCAACCTCTGGCAATCTGATTTTTAGGCCAAGGCTGTTCGGTGCAAGATGCGCTGGGTCCTAAACCAATAATTTGAATTTTCTTCGAGTGTTTATGCATTTGACAAAGAACTACACAGTTTGAATTCACAATTCCATCTGCAGACAGAATATTAGGAAGGCCTTACCTATAGTCTACAATCAGTTGTCATAGCTCAGGGATAGCATAGCCCTCACAATAAACGTACTGTACAATACGTGTTCAACTGAAAATTTGTCCTAATTAAATACTCTCGTGACTCGTGTTGTTATATCATTCTGTAGCTGTCATAAAAGGTGACACAGAGAAACAAATCAGGATACTGGCCACAGTGTTATAATTTAGGAAAAATAACAATTGAAAAATAAAATACTCTGATTGCCAATTTGCCTGCCAAGCGTGGTATCTACATACATACATACATAAACACTCACGCCTTTTTTTTTTTTTTTTTTTTTGCATGGGGAAATGCCTACGCATACCCGCCTCGCGGGGGGCAAGGACGGGTTATGTCGGACTCGCACCGACTAAAACCCCATGGTGTTCCACCTTTGTCGCATATTGGCAGGGCTACGGGAACGCTTTCGCACACATCCGCGGCCCTACTAGCGCCTGCCGCCCCATGGCAGCACCTCCTCGGGAGAGGAAAATTCCTCCCCGTTCTCC